ATCCGATACAATTTCCTCAATCGGATAGATGCCAGGCCATAAGGAGATTTTCTCGAAAAATGTACATAGAAGCCTGAGAAGGAGCAAAACTTTTAGGACACGCATAGAATATATCAGTGAGGTATCTAGACTTCCATGAAATATGAAACCGCCATTGAAAAATATGAAAATAGGCATCCCAATTGCCTTTTATTCGATAACTAAACGTGTTGTTCATCAACTAACATATCTGAGATGAAAATATCTACAATGAACGGAATATTTAAAATATTAACAGGACCCCAAGGCTGCACAGATAACTGGTTAGTGACGTTTCCTGAAGCTTTTTCAACATGCCGGTAGTAACTATTCTCGGTCCTTCGATCCTGAGCTGCATATCTCCAAGCTAACATCCACCACCTTCTTTGTGTATAAAAGCCATCTCCACGAAGGCCTCATAGTGGCTGACTGTTTTTGTGCGATTCCACTTCCTATCATGCGACGCGCACGGGCTGCCAACAAGATGAGCAAAATGCCCGGCCCAAGTTAAAATACTACATAAACTTGGATACCTGGATCAGTTATAATTCACTGTCTAATTCTTCAGCTATGCAATTAGCAGTTTTTCTAATCATCGCCCAGAGGTCAGCCTGCTTGTGACCTACAGTTCGCCTCTTGAGAGGATAATCAGTTTAACGGTCCTTCCGACAGAAACGCCTAGCAGAGCTTTAGGATTTCCAAAATATCTTTAGTATATGCTGTAAATTATTACATCGTTCCAAATGTTGCTCTTCCTAGAACACAATGGACTACTCCATCAGTTATGTTACTGAATAAAAACAGACTGAAAAACTAAGTACCATTATCTTTTTACATCTTTCCCTTTTTTACTCTTTTTTGACCTTTTCTATCATCCATTTCTACATTTTCTAACAAAATTTCCACTTAACGTTAAATGTAATTTCAGAGTACTAATTTTCCTACCAAAGGCGGAACTGAAAAACAAATCGTTTGATTCTGACCTAAGCAAACACATCTGCGGGAAGCAAGACATTTTCGAGAAGGCTTTCAATTGTGTTGGATTGGCACATGGTCACGGTAGTGATTATCCCCACAATGAGATCAGAATTTCCCCAAAAATTCCTGCACAACTGTTGCATTGAAGGTGCGAAGAATTGTGTAAGAGAATTTTTTTTTCTTCTGCAAATGAACGGCTCCTCGTTCGGTACAATAACTGAATTTACCTCAGCACTTCCGTACTTCGTTTCTCGACACAACCCATAAGTAACGGGCTTATCGTGACTTCCACAAATTCAGCCAGAGCAGCAACAAGAAGACCGTATTCTTCCAGCTCGGCAATGTAACCAGCTCGAGACTCCTCGCTGATTTCGCTGTGCTGCTTGCTAAGCATACGGAGCTGTTCCATAATTACCTACAATTCTGATGATTCTATTCATATATATAT